GGGGCAGGGACTGGGTGGGGGTGGGGGCTGGGGGCGGGAAAGGAGAGGTTGGGGGCGTGTCCTCCTTCTCTTGACTGGGCCCTGGGAAGGTCGACCTGCCTGCATCCCATCTATTTTTTTTCTTCCCTCGTCCTCCCCTCCCTTCGCACCTCTCTGTCAGGCACACTGTTAGAGGAGGTGGACAGAGAGAAGTCCAAGACAAATAAGACTTGGTCACCATTCTCAACACTTCAACACCCAGAGTCCCCAGAGGCTCAGCCCCTCCTTTTGCCTCTGCCCTGCCCAGGTGCTAATTCTGGAGCTTCTCAGAGTCCCGAGTGTTACCAACAGAGGTGCCATGTCTCCTTTAAGGCCTCCCAGCCTAGGTTACAGGGTGTCCTCCTTGAATTACTCCCAATCTGTGGGTACGACCCTCCCCATTGTCCTCCTCTTCCAATGGCCCTTGATAAAAGGACTGAATTATCCCTAAATGGGTTATCACTTAGGAAAGTGCACTCTAACAGGGCACTGTTCTAACTAAGCTCATTAATATAAATTTTAGCCATGAATTATGATTGCTAGAGAGTGCTGTGGATATACCCAATTTTCTTTCTTGACAAGGGTTAAGCGGTATGACCCTCCATCCCATAATTTTATTCCTCTCCCCTCCCCGGAATCCAAGGCCCTTGCTGCCCATCCTCGCATCCTCACAGTGTGGCCTGACTATGATCCTGGGGGTGGAAGATGAATAGGCAGTGGCATGAATACCTACTCCGCCCACTTCACATTCCCCTAGGTTTATTAGCACCCAGCTCTTCAAGACTTTTCTCTCCCCAGCCTTCTTCCACCACCTCCCACTCCTACCCAAGCCAAACAGAGCAAAGCACATACAAAGTAGGCCTTTGTGCCTTTGCACCTGCTGTGCCCTCTGCCTGGAATGTTCTTATCTCCTTCTGGCTCCCCTTCACTTGCTTGACAAGACCAGTCACTCCTGCCAGGGAACTTGCTTCCCACCTGCCTGCCCTGCATCCCTCCCTCTGTTGGGTGCTCATCTGTTGGTGCTACAATGCCCATGCTCACCTCCATCATAGCACCTGTCGCCGCTGTACTATCACCCGTTTGCTTACTCCCCTCTGAGCACTCCCAAGGGTGGGCATCTCACTCTCCTTTAATGCCAAGGCCTGGCACGAGCCAGATACACATGAATCATTGTTGAATCCCAGCCTGACCAAGCTGGTTACCGAAAATCCAGCTAGTCAGGGCCAGGCCAAAGTGGAACTCGGATGGAGGGCAGTGCCTTCACCTTGAATTTAAGGAAGTCCAGGCTGGCAGTGTCCCAGAGGCCTGCAGGTGAGCCCTTTCTACCCAACTCGCCAGGGCCTCTAGCATCTCAGACCTGTTCTCCCCCCACAGGCCCTGTACTGCAGCTGCTTTGTCCCAGTGTACTGCGGCCTCATCCCTCCAACTTACCGTGGTGTGGTGAGTGCTTTGGCATGAGATGGGAGTGAGCCAGGATCCAGGGGTGCCTCGGGGCCCCTGTGACCCACATCTGGGAGAACAGAGGGGTGATCTTGGAATTCGGTGGGAAGACCAAGAATTAGAAAGGTTATTGCGTTTTTCTACCCAGAATTCCCAGCATAGATGGATTTCTGGGGTTTTAAGGTAAACTCTCCCAACTAGGCTGGGCTTCTCTCTGGACACATCAATTCATTACTGAGACACAAGAGACTTGCCAGATTTTCCCGGACTTGACAGACAGTGTAGAATACAAATCCTGCAACACTAGAACTTTGAACGATGAGGACCTTTCAGGTCATCTAGGCTGGTGCCTCCCAAACTTCAATGTGCCCATGAATCACTTGGGGGTCCTGTAAAATAATGCGAATTCTGCTCCAGTAGGTCTCGGGTGGGGCCCGAGACTCTGCACCTCTAACTGGCTTCAGTTGGTGTGGGTGTTGCTGGTCCACGACCACACTCCGAGTAGGAAGGTCTAAACCATGCTCCATCTTTACTTTATGTATAGAGAAGATGAGATCCAGAGATTAAGTTTCACCTAGTAGATGGAGCCCCTCTTGCATGTCAACCATGTACTTCTCAGGTAGCCCAGAAAGTTAGAGCCTCGGTATTTGTTGTCCTTTGTTCCCAGCTGAGGAAACAGAAGCCCCAGAGGGGACGGGACTTGAGGGTGAACATATGGTGGCTGTGGGTGAGGCCATGGTCAAGGGTGCTCTGGAGAATGAAAAGGGTTCCAGACCTCAACAGAGGGAGGCAGTTTGGACCCATGGCAGTCTGGAGAGGGGATATTTATGACCAGCTCAGACCCACCATGAGCACACTTCTTAAGAAATCATGATGTGTGGCTCCATTCTCCAGCTCTGCTCTCAGCATTTGAGTGGCTCCAGGAGGGGTAGCCTGGGAGGGGTAGCTGTGAGCATTTGCTCCTGATTTCTCCAGTGTCCCCCTCCCCACAGAGCCCTGGGAGCCCCATCTTAGCACCAATGAGATGTGCAGGGACAGAGCACTGGGCTGGAAGTGCAGAGACCACAATGGACTCATTGAGTGACCTTAGGCATAACACTTACCCACCAGAACCTAGACCTCAAGGCTTGTCCAGGGGGACCCATTTCCTTGGCGTACTCCCTGCCTGGCGGAGAAGACCTCTGACTCAAGATGAGCATTTTTCACTCTGCCTCCCCCTACAGCGGTATATCGATGGGGGCTTCACGGGCATGCAGCCCTGCTCCTTCTGGACTGACTGCGTCACCATCTCCACCTTCAGCGGGCAGCAGGACATTTGCCCCCGGGACTGCCCTGCCATCTTCCATGACTTCCGCATGTTCAACTGCTCCTTCCAATTCTCCCTGGAGAACATCACCAGGATGACTCATGCCCTATTCCCCCCAGACCTGATGGTGAGAGACAGAGGGATCTGGAGGGTTAGGCGGCCCGGGGGAGGGTGGCAAGGGCTAGAGGTGCAATGGGGAAGCCAATGGGACCCAACGAGTTGCATCTGTGTCTCCTCCCCTCAAATCATCCCTTAAACTTTCTCCCACACCTGTGTCCTAGCCTTTTTGCTAATGAGCTATGTGACCTTGACCAAGTCTCCTAAGGGCTCCCAGCCTCAATTTTCTCCCCTATAGAATGAGATAATATCAAAATCGCTGATAGGAATTTTAAACTGAACTCTTCCACTCTGACATGCAATGTTGGGTCAGCAAACTATGGCTCACGGGCCGTATCCAGCCCATGGCTTATTTCTGTACAACCTGTGAGCAAAGAATGGGCTTTCCATTTTTAAAGGGCTGTAAAAAAAAGAAAAAGAAGTGACAGAAACTATATGTGGTCTACAAACCTCAAAATATTTGCTATTTGTCCCTTTACAGAAAAGGTTTTGTGGGCAATATCTTGAGTGATCCTGCAGCATCTTCTGCAATAGATACTATTATAATCCCCATTTTACAGATGAAGAAACTGAGTCTGTGAGAGATTATAGCCATACAGCCAATAAGTGGCAATACTGGGATTTGAACCCAGTCTCCAAATTCTGCTCTTCTTATGGCTCAAATACACCTCTCATTCTACTATAAACATCTCACTCCTCCTGCCCAGGGGAAGCTGATGATCAGCTGTGAATGGTTTAACACATTAACGTGGCATCACTGTGGACATGTGATCAGGAGCTACTCCCCACTTCTTAGCAGATAGTGAAGGATGGGACGCTGGATAGGTACATTTTGAAGAGCTCATCAAATAAAACTCAAGAGTGGTGAAAGTAGCTGCTCTGGGTGAGGACCACAACTCTCACCGTTGCTTCAGCCTGAGTCATTTTCCTGGTGTGCCCGCCTTGCAGATCCTGCACAATTACTACTACCGAGGGTACGAAGATGCCGTTTCGTACTTGAGGCGGCTGAGTAAGTACCATGTGGAGCCCCAGGAAAAGGGAGGACTGGAGGGTGGGGCAAAGACAGGAAGTAGAAGGGCTGAATGGAGGAGAGTTCCCTCCAAATTTATGACCTGGAGATGCTCTTCACTCAGGAGAGCCAGAAATGGGTGCAGGACCTGACAGCCTGCATTGTCCAGGACAGGCCACTCTGGCCAGAAATAAGGATTTTCGTGCAAAGGGAGCTTTTAGGTTAACTGATGGGACAGTGTCTAGGGCTCGTATACAAATATATTTCTGGATTTAATAACTATATTTAGGAAATACATAGCTCATACCTTCCATTTTCATTCTCTTCCATATTTATACTCTTTCCAATGAAACTATCGTTAATATAGAACTAAATGTGACTAATTTACATTTGTATAAGACTTCAAATGACACATTGATCAACAAATGAGAGAGAAAGAGCCCTTGCCCTGTGTTGGTTTGGAAATTGTGGTCCCCACACCTGTGTATCCTCTGTGCATCAGTTGGTAGAAGAAAGATTCTAATGACATGTATTATATTCTCTAACTTGATGAAGGCCATGGCGGACATCTTTGTTAAAAGGAAAGAGAAAAAGCTTTTTCATATTTAGAGTTATGTTCTTTTCCATGGAATGTATTTCCAGAGAAGGAGATTCCTGAATCAAAGGGTATTTTATCTGTGTGATATTATGTTTTTTCTATATTGCTGTATGGCTTTATAATAGTCTTTTTTGGCAGTTTTATATTTCATCACAGTTGTACAGAAAACTTAGCTTGGTCATTCCCTTGAGTTTCTAAATGTTCACTATTATAAGTAATGCTATGGTGTTCTTGTGTATATAATTTTTTAAAAAATATTTTGGAGGTGAGGTTAGGGGTTGAATGAAGTTTTTCCCTTAGGATACATTCATTTTTTTTTCCCCCTTCAATATTGCTTCTTGCGTTCCCAAGCTCCCCTTGTTCTAACTCTTTACTTTCTCCTGGGTCCTTTCACCCAACAAGGTGGGGATGTGAGTGGGGGTGGGGAATAGGAGAGCAGGATGGAGAGAATGTGAGCTCTGGAGGCAAGTAGCCTGGGCCAGGGCCCTCATCCCTCCAGCTGTATGAGCTCAGGGGAATCATTCCCCATCTCTGAGTCTTGATCTCTTAGTCCGTAAGAAAGATTTAGATCCTGGTTCCTGACCCCTACCTGTGTCCTTGCCAGACAATATAGTCCACTGCCCTCTCTGACCTCAGAAACAGGCCCCTCTTCTCACCTCTCTGCAAGACATACTAACCCTGACTCTCTTCTGACAACTTCCCCATCTTCCACATTTACACAGGTAACAGCTGTAAAAAGTGAGCCCCAGGTGTCCAAAAGGTGAAGGACCTGGGGAGTATCAGTGGAGGGTAGAGATGAGGCATCAGAATAGGAGGGGCTAGCTGGAGCCAAAGGTCCTTTCTTCCACCAGCTGGGGAGCCCATTCGGTCTTTCCTCAGTGACAGTGCAGGCTGGGGACTTGGGGCTTGGGGGATCCCCTGATTTGGGCTTTGGATCTTAGAGCAGATACCAGTTTCTTGCCCCAGGAGACCCCTCTGCACATCTCAGGCTGTAACACATGTTACAGCCTGGACCCCTGGCTACCTGGCTACCTCCATATCTATCTCTCCCCTAGAAATTTTCCTTTCTTCTTTCTCTCAGGACAAGCCCAGGGGAGAGTTACAAAGTGGGTAGTTAAGCATCTCTAGTCTTCCCTATTTCTCAATAGACCCTTCTTCTACCCTTCTACCTCTTGGAGAAACCCAGTGCCCTCTCACCCTACCCTACCCTTCCACTCTTAGCCGATGTGGACATTTTCACAGGTATGAATGGTGGTCTCAAACCCAAGGGTGAAACTCTAATAGTAGGATTTAAGGCATCCATTCCTGATTTGGGGCAGTGTATGGAGGATGGCAGGTTTTCCCAATGGCCCTGGAATCACTCCAAGTAGAAACAGACACAATTCACAAGGGAGACAATGTCTTGTCTGGCTACCAGCTATTTGTACTCCTCCCAATTTGCCAGTGTGTACATGCTTTCTCAGTGCAGATTTGAGCTCCACCACCTAAATCCTTTTGGGTTTGGTTGGGCTGGATTTTTCTTCTGGCACCAGATGCAAGCAGGTGTTATTGACACATCCTAAGTAATTGTGGTTGGTGTCCACAGCGACACTCTTAATCCCCACCTGCCATCTGGGAACAGAAAATGGGAGTCCACTCCAGCCTCCCACCCAGCTGCTTTCTGGATATGGGTCAGCTCCGTCAGGAAGCCTAACTTACAAGGTGTCACCCGCAACAACTCAACTCCTGGCATCTTCTTTCTCCACCCTCCTAAGGATTTACATCCACCTAATTATTTCTGCTGCCAGCCAAGCCTTCCTCTCCATTCTTGGCTTCCCTTGGCAGCATCCTTCTGCCAAAGGGGAGGGTACGCTTGCTGGTGTGCTTGAAAATCCACATTCCCAACATAGACGTGTTGCGTATGGGTGTTAAGTGAGGTTGGAGCTCAGAGGATGCCATATCTGAAAATATCCATTCGGCATCCAGGCATGTCCACCTGAACCCACCTTCCTTCCTTCCTCCTTCCCTTCCATTCCTTCCTCCTTCCCTTCCTTCCCTTCCCTATCCTCCTTCCCTTCCATTCCTTCCTCCTTCCCTTCCCTGCCATTCTTCCTTCTCTCTCTCCCTTCCTCCTCACAATTTGATAAGTTTTCATACACACACACCTGAGAAACAGCACCACAATCAAGACAGTGAACAATCCATCATGCCCAAAGTTTCTTCATGCCCTCAGTGACTCCTCCCATCTTCCCTCACCCGCCCCCAATCCCTAAGCAACTTCTGATTATATTTCTGTCATTATATATTAATTGTCTTTTCCAAAGTTTTCGATAAATGGAATCTTATAGTATGAACTCTTTTTTGTTTGCATATTTTCACTCAGCATAATTATTCTGAGATTCGTCCAAGTTATTCCATGATAAATACAGTTCATTCCTTTTTACATTCTTTCCACTGTATGAATATACCACAGTTTATTTATCCATTCACCTGTTAATGGACATTTAACAGGTGAATGGATAAATAAACTGGTTGTATCCACTTTGGGCTATTCTGAATAAAGCTTCTATGAACACTCATGCATGCATCTTTGTATGGACATATGCTTTCATTTCTCTTAGATAAGTACTAGGAGTTGAATGTTAGATCATATGGTACGTGTGTGTTATATATACAAATAAATAAAATTATATGTGATTATGTATAATTATATAATTACATTATATGTAATAATATATAATTTATACATGTAAAATTGTGATAAAAACACAATATAAAATTTACTATCGTAACCATTTTTAAGTGTACAGTTCAGTAGTGTTAAGCATATTCACATTGTTGTGCAGCTAACCTCCAGAACTTTTTCATTTTGCAAACTGAAACTCTATACCCATTGGCTGGCAACACCCCCTCCCCTTAGGCCCTGGCCACCATCATTCTACTTTAGACTACTTTAGATATCTCATATAAGTGGAGCATACCGTATTTGTCTTTTTATGACAGGTTTGTTTCACTTATAATGTGCTCAAGTTTCAAGTATATTGTAGCACCTGACAGGATTTCCTTCCTTTTTAAGGTTGAATGATATTACAACTCATCCTGGCATCCTCTTTCTCCTCCCTCCTGAGAATTCACATCCAGCTAATTGTTTCTGCTGCCAGCCAAGCCTCCCTCTCCACTCTCTGCCTCCCTTGGCAGCAGTGTATATACCACATTTTCTCTTTCCATTCATTTCAATGGACGTTTGGGTTGCTTCCACCTCTTGCGAATAATGCTGCAATGAACATGAGTGTGCAAATATCTCTTCGAGATTCTATTTTCAATCCTTTTGGATATATGTGGACTAAGACATAGGCCCAGATGTATGTTTAACTTTTTAAGAAAGCGCCAAATTGTTTTCCAAAGTACTTGAACCATTTTACATTCTCAACAGCAGTGTACGGGCATTCCAGTTTCCCCATATTATCACCAACACTTGATATGGTAGGTCTTTTTAATTTTAGCCATTCTGTGTGTGGTTTAATTTGCATTTCCCTGATGACTAACGATGTTGAGCGTCTTTTCATTTCCCTGATGACTAATGATGTTGAGCGTCTTTTCATTTGTTTATTAGTTGCCTAGATATCTTCTTTGGTAAAGTATCTGTTCAACTCTTTTGCCCATTTCCCCCTAAATCTTTTAAAAGCTTTATATTTTAGAGTAGTTTTAGATTCACATCCAGGTTTACCTATTATCATGTCTCACATTTGTTAGATGTTATAGTTTGGTACATAGTTTGATGTAATGTTTATAATTAATGAACAAATATTGACAAATTATTATTAACTGAAGTCAATACTTTAATCGGATTTACTTCGTTTTTACCTAATGTCCAAGATTTCATCCAGGATACCACATCACATTAAGTTGTGATGTCTCTTTAGGCTCCTCTTGCCAGTGGCAGTTTCTCAGACTCTCTTTGTTTTTAATAACCTTGGCAGGTTTTAGTACTGGCCTGATATTTTGTAATGTCCCTCATTTGGGGTTTGTCTGATGTTTTCCTCATGATTAGACAGGGGTTATGAATCTGGAGGAGGAAGACCACACAGGAAAAGTGCCATTCTCATCACATTATATCAGAATACATGCTATCTACATGACATATCACTCATGATGTTGACCTTGACCACCTGGCTGCAATGGCGTTTGTCAGGTTTCTCCATGATAGAGTTACTCTTTCTCTCCTTCTCATGCTGTGCTTTTTGGAAGGATGTCATTGCAAAGCTTACACTGAAAAAGTGAGGAATTATTCTTCATTTCCTTCAGAGTAAGATGTCTACATAAATCATTTGGAATTCCACTACTTGGAAGATTTATCTCTTCTCCCCCTTTTATTTACTTATTCAATCATTTGTTTATATATAACAAATGGACACATGGATGCTTATTTCATACTTTGGGTTATTATTCAGTCTGATTTTATTTTGTTACTTAAATTGTTCCAGCTTTGGCCATTGGGAGCTCCTTCAGTTGGCTCTTTTGCCCATTTAAAAAAATTGAATTGTTCGTTTTCTTGTTTAAAATCTTTTATATATTCTAGATAGATGCCCTTTGTCAGAAATATTACTCGTAAATATTTTCTACCCGTCCATGATTTTTCTTACCAGCAACTTTTAAATCTACACCAGTCTTGCCTATTTTAAGAAACTTCCCCTGGATCCTTTCTCCCTGCCTCCCGTCTCGATCCTGGCCTCCCACTTCTCACTGCTTTTCCTCCCTAGGCAATCTCCTCCACAGCTACCATCGCAGCTTCACTTACTACCCATAGGGGGCGCCCAAACATATGTCTGTAACCCTCATCTCTTCTCTGAGACCCAAATCCACATATTCAACTGCCAACTTGTCATCTTTTCTCGGACATCTCCAAGGCCTCCTAAACTCAACATGTCCCCAAACAAGCTTATAACCTGAGCTCCCCACCCCAACCTTTCCCTCCTATCGTCGTAGTCTCGGCAAACGGCACCAGCATCCATTAAATTGTGCAAGCCACCTACCTCCCCTCACTCCCTAATTGAGCCTTCACCAATTCTCATTCATTAACCTCCTAAACGGAATCTTCTACTTCTTTCTATCTCTTTCCAAGTGCAAACTTCAAATACCTCTCTGCAGCACCCCGACAGATTTCCCTGGGTCCCCTATGCCCTTGTCAGTGACTTTCCACAGCAGCCATAGTGATCTTGTCAAAACCAGTCAGGTCAGCACGTCCTTGCCTATATGTCTTCACGGTCTCCATGAAAACCGGGGTCCTCAGTGCTGCCTATAAGCCCTGGCGTGATCTGGTCCCTTGGCCTCTTCGAACCCATCTTCCACTTCTGTGCCCCACCCCTGCTCCAGCCACACTACCTTTCAGGCCCTAAATGTCCTGGTGCTCCTTCGAACCTGTGGTCTTTGTGCATGCGGTTCCCTCTGTCTGAAATGTTCCTCTCTACCCCACCCCTACCATCCGCTGGACCACTTGCCCTTCAGATCTCAGTTTAAATGTCACTCCCTCAAGGAAGCCTCTCATTTAAGTCCTCCCTGCTTCCCTCTCTCTTAGGACCATGTTCTTCTCTTGCTTAGCACTTGTCTTTGTTAAAACTTGAGATTATTTGGGTGGTCAGTGCCTGCCCTCACACTGGACTGTAAGCTGCAAGAGACCAGCGACCATCTCGCCTGTTTTTGTCTCCTGCACCTCCTCAGTGCCTGGTATAATGCCTGGCACGTATAGATGCTCAATAAATATCCACTGAATAAGTGAATTGATACATAACCTAATACTCAATATAAATCCAAGTAAGTACAGCAATACCATTGATGAGCACTAATTCTGTTTATGAAAATAATTTGAAAAACTATTTTTTGCAAATGTCATGCTGATGCCAGGCGTTAGTAATGCCATCCATACTATTGTTTTTCCTAGACGCTGCTTACCTTAATTCTCCCTCCAAGAGAGTGATTTTCCCCCGGGTAGAAGTGTACTGCCAAATAGAACTCGCCCTTGGCAGTGAGTGCCCCGAACACAGTCAACCAAGCCTCCAAACAGAACAGGCCAGTCCGGAAGAATCCACACAACTTCATACACAATGGGCTCCCACAGGGGAAGGAAGCAGTGGCCATGGTCCACCTACGTCCCCACCTATGCAGACACCTGAATCTACATGTGGGTGGCCTGTGGAGTCAACTGTTTCACCACCTGTTTCTTCATTTGAGCAGTCACCTGCATTGCCACGGGCCTCATCACCATCACATTCTCCAACTGACTTGCCACATGTATCACTGCCAGCTGTGCACCGACGACCCATCTCAACACCTGTGTCACCACAACAGCAGGTACAACCAACTGGATCACCACCCAGATCCCCACCCTCCCAGTCACCTATGTCACCCAGGCCACCCCTGGAGCCTTCAGCTGTGGAGGCACATCAAACATTGCCCCGATGTTCTTCAGCATCACCTGCACAACCCGCTGTGGAGGAACTAGGCTCAGATCAGCCCCAAGGTACGAACCCCCTGGCTTCTTAAGGCTTCTCCATGTTCGAAGCCCCCCCAGCAAATGTGTCAACATGGTGGCTGATGACCATTGGTTTAGAGAGCTGCATCGAAGAAGTTAGCAGTTAGCTCTAGCGGCTCGACCCGTTATGAGGACAGGATACCACAAAAGAACAGTTTGCTTGACATTTGTTCATTTCTTTAGTCCAGTGATTCTCAAAGTGTAGTCCCCAACCAGCAACAATAACATCACCTGAGAACGTATTAGAAATGAGAATTCTCAGGCCCCACCACAGACCTGCTAAATCACAGGCTCTGCGGGTGGGACCCAGCTGTCGTTTTTACAAGGCTTCCAAGTGATTGTTTTGTCTGCTCACATTTGAAAACTGCTGTTCTGGTAGATTTTTCTTGTGAAAGCCGTTGTGCCGGGGCAGTGCTACTCAAAGTGGTCTGTGGATCAGTGCCAGTCCCCTATTTGTTCCTAGTTCACACTGAAAAGAACACAGAAATTGAGAGGAAGCATTTAGAAATGTTTATAGCAAAAACATATTGCCATGGTATCCAAGAGTTTTCCTACTAATTCATTTGTACTATATTTCACAAAACTACTAGTCCATTATGGATCGTAAGTAAGATTTTTAAAAACTGGTTCTTTGCTGCAGACAGTTTGAGAAGCACAGTTGTAGGGGTCGCAAAGACAAACTGTTCTCAATTCCTCACTCTCAGGAAATCTACCCTCCAAAAGAAGGGATAACATGGATACCTACCTCAAAAATACAAGATGAATTATTAAGTACCATATAACTAACAAAAACATGTTGGGGTATTCACGGAGAATAAGATCACTTCTTTCTGGGGAAATAAGGAAGGTTTCCTGGGGGTGACAAGCGAGCTGAAATAGGCAGGATATTGACAGTCATGGTCTGTGCGATGGGATTGGATGGAGTAGAAAGCGCATTTCAGATTTTGTTTACTCTACGAGCTCAGGTGCAGAAGGGAAAGTGCAAGGTACATTCAGGATGAAGAGGGTGCGGGTGTGGCCACTGTAGATGGTCAGGGTGGTGGCAAAGGAAGAGGGCTCCAAATGATGGAAGGAAGCCAGGTTGTAGGGTCCTTATGGTCCATCAGCCACATTTCCATGGTTGTTATGGTAAACAGTGGCAAACAGAAAGATTAGCAAGCTTTCCTCCTTTTCAGATCTGGCCCAAGTAACGGATGACCCTTTCTCTGGAATAGGATTACTTTGATTCTTCTGATCACAATGAAACTAAAATATAAGAACATTAAGAGTCAGAAAATTGGTCAAAGTGTTTCATGTGCTCTCTTATTTCCTGTTAAATAAAGTACATTTATTTTTATGTTATCGCACCTTTGCCTAAAGGTAGCCATCTTCAGATGCCTGAGCAATCCTGGGCCTGGAGTTGGCATTCCTCACTCATACTGGGAGTGGGTGAAGGGTAAAGATAGCCCAGTGGTTCCAAACTGGGGCAATTTCACCCCCAGGAGACATTTTGGGTTGTCACCTAGTAGATGACATCTAATGAGTAGAAGTCAAAGATATTGCTAAACATCCTACAATGTACAGGAGGGTCCTTATGACAAAGAATTATCTGCTCCTTAATGAGACTGAAAATCCTGTTATAGCCTCCAGCTGAGCCTCTACAGCAACATCCTAGGCCAGAGGTGAGAGGTGGGCAGAGAGGAACCTCCCCAGGGATTAGTGTTATCAGTCATTTATGAGGGCCATATTGTTGAGGGTGGGGTGTTGCAAAGAGTCCTAGCAAAATTCATAAACAAAAGAACTGCAACTAGATTTGGGATTAGCCACCAGGCCCCAAATGAAAGAACTTCGAGTAGAGGAATCTAAATATATTCTATATTATTTTTTACATGTATTACATAATTACATAATTAATCTACATATATTACATATCCCCACACTCTGAAAACATGGAAAGAGCTTACTTAAAAAGAATGATCATAAAATTATCAATACTTTCTATTCCAATAAAAAAAGAAAAAGGCATTATATAAAGCAAGTAATGGAAGATTCAAGCCCCTGTGGGGTATGTTTCTGAAACTTTCTCTAATATGACTGTTTTTTGTGAGGGAATTGTTGATAATATTCTATCGAAGGTCAACATCTATCCTTCCACAGATGCCACTGCATCATTGTTAAATCCAACAATATAATTCTGGTCCTGAATATGAGAATTTGAAAATAAGACAGTTTTTTACTCCTTCTAAACACTCTTGCTTACTTCCTATTGTTATATGTCAAAAATGACTAAGTATGCCTCCCCCACCTCATTTCACTCATGTCTCCTATATTTTTACTTTTGGCTATAGTTCCTCTTACCTCTTCAAATCCAAAAACTGTGCCGCTAGTTAATGTGAAGGAAACCACCAGCAAGCCTTATGCCATGTAAGTTTCTCCTTAATTGAGATCACATACTTTCCTTTAATGGGGAGGGATGGGATGGGGGGACGGAGAGGGGGAGCCAAGTGACATTTCCATCTCTTTAGCCGCCCTAGGAACACTGGGATGCTTTTTTAGTTTGTGTGTTACAGTTCGCCCCTTTACATTTCACAAGCCACGCCTCCCTCTTCTCTCTTCTTCAGTGGAGGCAATGTGTGGGAAATCAGCCTATTCATGCTGACAATGTCATTCTCTTCAGCTGCCTGCTGTGCACACTGGGGAATGCACCTTCTCTGAGTGCAGTGAGAACATGCCACCCCCTAGTATCTTACTCTCTGGTGATGTCTCAGTTCAAGAGAGATAGCAGGCGTGCTGCATTCTAGCCTTAGGTAGCCACTGCACAGTATGAATTGAGGAACTCTACCAAAAGCTTCCCTTAATCTAAATTATTTTCTATCAGCATGATAAAGAAGCTAATATTTCTATGCTGTGGGATGTCCCCAGAAAATCTTTCTTATAATGCACATCAATTGTCAAGGTTATGTAACGTGTACTCCATTATTATCTTTGCAGTCATTAAGAGAGGACCCAGAGATCTCTATATTTTTAAGCTCCCTGGGAACCACATTACCCAGACTCCCTTACTGGCTGGATGCTGGTTGGATTAGCCAGTGGAAGGCACCAGCAGGAGATCAGAGGGTGGGTCAAGAGTGTTTCTGCCCACCAACGTCATCCCTTCCTGCCTTGGGGCAGCTCCGGCAGTGACTGGGTTCCTCTGTGATATTGGGAGAGCAGAGCCTGAGGCACTCTTACTTTTGATGTTCCCACTCCATATCATATCATGTCATATCGCATCATATTATGTCAAGTATATTAAAATATACCTGCTTCTTCCATTAAGTATAATTTTTTTATTTTAGGCGAGGTAACCCTTGGTTGACCTCACAGATTGAAAGGACCTTGTCAGCTTACAATCCCTTATTTTTTTATTTTTTATGCCTACAGCACCTGGTCTTCCTAGGTGGTCTCCCATCCAAGTACTAACCAGGCCCGACCCTACTTAGCTTCCGAGATCAGACGGAATCGGGCTTGTTCAGGGTAGCATGGCTGTAGACCCATTAAGTATCATTTTAATTATAAAACTTTTGAAAGAGTTTACATGAACTTAATAATTTTGTGCCTGGGCCTAAATTCCACATTTTGTTCACATGATTTAAACTTTATTGCATTGACATATAACTATACAAAAGTTTGAGTTTCATTTGACTAGTTGGCATGATGTTACACAGATAAATATTCATTGATTACAAAATAAAGGTCGCTGGGGAACTCTGATGCTTAGCCAGGGCTGAGAATCACAGCATTGGTGTGTCTGATACCTTCTGAGCTGGAGCAGAGCAGGTCATTAACAAACCACTTCATCTCTTTGCCCAGGGTGAGCCCTCCTGAAGACTCCAATTGGGTGAGCAAGGTATTCATGAAGAACAAACAAAAGACAAGTGGCACCAGAAAAGGCTTCCTAAGACATCCACGATCCAAAAAATCGGGCAGCAAAGCGCAGTGAGCATGACTAATGTTTTTTTTTAATTCCACAGAGAGGAGTGGCTTTGGGAATGGTCTATAGGAAGATTACAAGGGGTGAAAGGGGGGTCAGTAGTAGGGGTTAGAAGCTGGGCTTTGGAATTGGACGCACCCAATATAAAATCCCCCATTTCCATAGTCTCGCTCAGTGAGCACGCTTGGGACATGTAGTCTCTCTGAGTCTCTATTTCCTGATCTGTAAAATAGATATAACAGCAGCTCATAAGGTTGTTGTGAGCATTTAATGAAGTCAGCTATGGAAATTGCTTCGCACAGTGCAAGATGTATAGTAGCACTCAATAATTAGTAGATACTATGGTTACATAACCCCCGGAAGCTGACTAGCTAACTCTTAGCTTCTGAATAGAACTGTACTAAAAAACCAAACTAGACAGGTGGGTGACCATGAGACCATCAATGTGTGAGCTCCTAACTGTTCCCACCCTACAACTAATAGCCCTAAACAACATAGGCCTGCTTCTTACAGTTTCTTCACTATATTATATTGTCGTTGATTTAATCAATCATTCTTTATTGAGCATCTACTAAGTGCCAAGCATTTTTCTGGGCTCTGGGGAAATCAAAGATGAATTAAACTCAATGCTCCGACTTTCAAGAATTTATCCCAAATTGAACTTCAAACTAAAGACAAGAATAAAACATACTAATCTGATGAACTGTGAACCTGATATAAACCAAGCCTTAATTTTTTTTTCTAAACCATAATGTTGTTAAAGGCACATGCATACATGTGTACAGTCACAAATTCAAAATGCCAGCCTGAAACACAAACCAAGCTGGGTGTCACCTATAATTATTTGTTGTATTATCAAAGTATTCTCCAAATGGAACAGATCCGCACTGCTGTTTAATTTGCTTCAAGCATTTGTTGGTCAAAAAAATTCCTTAATCATTCTAAGGGACATCCTTCCAGGTTGCTCCTGTCCTGGATGGAATGTATGAAGTAGATGAGGGCCAGAAGCTCATCCCGGCAGCCACAGGCCCACTTCAAAGTCTGGGCCAGTAGGTACTTGGTGGGTGGTGGAAAGCAGTGTAATGGGGAGGAGATTCTCAGAGGTTGTGCAGGACGTGGGGCAGACATACAAGTCACTTTCTGGGTTAAGGGATAGGCAGGGAGGGTGCAGGACCCAACAGGCAGTCAGCAGTCCCTGGAGGTCACTGGGTCAGTGTAGCCTGGGATTAGTCTCACTCTATTCCTTGGTATCCAGCCCCAAGATCTCCTTGAACTTTGAGTAGCCATAGCTCTGTCCCTAGGAGCTCAAGTTTGGTCATGAGAACATAGGCAGGTCTGCAGTGGGTGTGGGGAAGCCTCCTTGACTTGGTACCATCTGGGAGCCAGGTCCAGACTTGAGTCTCTTGACCTAGGGCCAGGCCTCTTCCCATACATCAGAGCTGTGGAAGCTATGCAATTCAGCCAGAGCTACCTTGGTTGATAAACTTCTAGGAATCTAGGTGCTTTATTAAAAAGCAGGCTGTGATTAAAACAAACAAAACAACAGTCATAAGCTGTGAGAGACACTGTTGTCAGTGGGTCACATATCCTGTCTGTGGTGCTCTTTTATAGAACAGATTGTGAAACTGCCTGGAGGCAACTTACCAATCAATGATCTCAAGCAATTCTATGCAGATACAGATTTACTGCTCTGAGCTTCAAAAAACAGGGGAGGAGCTGGAAAAGAGAAGCTCAAAAATGTTAAGCATAGAGCAGGAGGAGTGATCCAGGAAGAAAAGAAATCTGCTCATTTCCTTTCAAACTACAATCACGAGAGACACTGTCACATCCATGGGCTAGTCCTGTATAAACTCCTGGTCCTCAGCTGATATCCCCCCTGCCAACAAAGAGAAGAGAGGCTAGAATAAAAGCCACAAGGCAGATGTTCCATACATTAATGTGTGTGCGCATGTGCACTCGTGCACGTGTGTGCAGAAGTGTCCTTTAAATCAGAGGTTCAATTTATCCTCTGATGTGAGTTGCATTGGTCATTTATTGCTACTATGATAATGCTGCATAACAAACAATCGCCCTCAAATCTCAGTGCATTACAAAACAAACATTTGTTTTTCTCTCTTTCGTAGATCTATGAGTTGGATGGGATAGCTTAGGCTACAGGATGGGGTCACGTCTGCTCCCTGGCTCTTTCATTCCAAAACAGCAGTTGTGCCAGATCTGTTTTTCTCTGGAGTATAGCTAGATGTATCAGCATAATTTTCCTCTGCTAGCCTTGCTATCCTTCAATAAGAATTCAGTGGTCATCTGACTCAGGTTGTGTAACTCACCTATGTGAAAAGACAGATGGAGAAATTGAGAGACTGCCTGTACAGGCTCCAGATGGAAAAGGAGGAGGTCCATCTTGCTAATCGCTGCTCAAATCCTCCTAATTGCTACCAAGTCTGTCAGACTCCCCAAACCACCACTACTCAAAAGCCCCTCCTTTGAGTTACTATGGATTTCCCACCTATTCAATATGAATGTAGTAACAATAGCTAAAACTTAGATAGTGGTTATGTTTTAAGCACTGTGATACAAAGAGGTTAAGTGATGCCCAAAGTCACACAGTTGGTAGGTGGCAGAGGTAGGATCCCAACCCAGTGATAAAGCCACAAAGTGATAAAGCCACCTAGGGAAGCCACCCAGAGCTGGAAGTCACAGGGGCTAATCGTGATTTCTCCACTTGGGCAGGAAGAGGCCTAGAGGAGCACTATGTACCTAGGGAGACATAGTAGGGTGTATGTCAGGGTGCTCTGCTAACGAGGTTGGACTTCACCTGTGGTGCTGGGGAATGACACAGTCAGATTTGAAAATTACCCAGAAATATGCAAATTCACATCCTAGCATTTCTCCAAGGTGGGCTCAGCAGGTATCTCCCTGCAATTTCCCAGAGAGGGCAACTGACTTGCCCAAGGTCACACAGCAGGCGGAGGAAGGTTCTGAACTCAGGTCTTCCCATTCTCAGTTTTGTCTCCTTTCTCTTCACCTGTGTTTTCTTGGCTTCTCACATCCAGATCTGTTCCCTACCCGATCGACTTCTCTCTGCTCTCCACTCCCGAGACTGTTTGGGTCACCTACAGGCCTCATCCCAGCCGGATCCAGGAATACAGCTGCCCTGAGGTGTGATACTCCCCAGGGTGTCCCTGGAGACTAGACACTGCCTGCCCTGTCCTGAGATGCTACGGTGTCCCCTGAGCATCATCAATCCAGCTTCCTTTCTGCCCCCAGCTGCCTCTTCCTGTGGTCACAGTTAAGGCCACCACTAGCCCACGTAATGCCTTGTACACTAAGAAAACAGCACACCTTCCTTGAGAAATTGACTGCCAGCTGCTAGAGGATTGTCATAATACATGATTTTGTTAGAACAATTGACTGCTAACTGCTAGAAATCTGTGTGAATGATATACAAAGCTACAAAACTATATAAATAACATAGAAAGTTGTATAGATAACATATGACATAAGTATGTCCATGAAGTACCTACCCCTTTGTATTGGCAGAATATCTTCAGTCTATATACCCAGCACTCTGGAGGCCACTACACCTCTTCTCCCTTCCTGAAAACCCAAATATTAACTGGACTTTTGTAAACCAAATAACATTTCAAATATTCTTTTGTCAACTCCCGCTCTGCAAATGGAATTCTTCATTTGCAAAAGACACTTGGATAATAAAGGAAACCTCTTTTGTTTAATATAAATTTATTTATTTAAATTAGTTTCAGTTATACAGTACATTGGTTAGACATCTATTTTGTTCATAAAATGATCCCCCCAATTGCTCCCTCCCTCCCCTGGCCCTCCACTTAGCCATCATATTAATGCTAACTGCATTTCCTCTGCCATGCATCCCATCCCCGTGCCCAACTATCAACTACTAATTTATACTTCTTTAACCCTTCACTCCATTCTCCCAGTCCCCCAATCTCCCTCCCCTCTGTCTGTCATCAAATTGTCCACTATATTTGTGAGTCTGTTTTTGATTAGTTTGTTTTTTTT